CCTGTAGTCCCAGCTACTTGGGAAGCTGAGGCAAGAGAATTGGTTAAACCCAAGAGTTTGAGGTTACTGAGAGCCGTGATGCCACAGCACTCTACTGAGGGTGACATAGTGAGACTCGTCTCAAAACCCCCCCCCCAAACACAAACACTTAACTAATGTGGAATCACAAACTTAATTTGTATCTTTTACTTGTACATGCTTGTGTGATCATTTTTACCAGAGTAGTGGAAATGCTGCACAAAACTAACTCAGCTGTCACTGTTTGGGTTTTGCGTCTTGATACCTACACATCCTACTGTCTGCCATCATGATGAGTGAGGAGGGACTGGAAGGAAGGGGAGGTACTGGTGGGATGAGGTCCACACTGAAACCCGATGTGATTTTTAGGCCTGACTGTAGGTAATTACAAAGGCTATCCCTAGCTGGCCTGTGTGGGAAAGTGCTCCTGGGACGGGACTTGATGTGTGGCTGGTGCATTAACAGCCTGTCTCTCAGGGGAGTTGCATATAAGAGACAGGCTTCCCCGGCTGCTCATGTTCTTAGGCCTATTTGCATTCTTAGCCCAGGCCTCCTCATTGCTGGGCATCTTCATCTGAGGTTCTCTTCAGGCGCCTCTGCCAAGGCCACCTTGTGGGGGGAGGCGGGAAACCTGAAAGACACTTGTCCTCCCTCTGACTTAGTGCTCATGGCTTTCCAGCTCCTGGTCCTCCCCCCACCCTCTCTCCTGACGTACTGTGTTTGTCAAACTGCTGGAGGCTTGTGTTCAGGGCTCCCTCAACAGTGAGGTGATTCCCGTGTCTGCAGTGATCCACCCCACCTTTGACTGGTACGATGTTCAGCAGGTAAACAGAGTCGGATTTTAGACCCCTGCTTATACTACTGCAATAAGAGATCAACTTGTTATTTTTTAGCTTGTTGCTTAATTGGCTGCTCTAACACTGGGCAGCTGAGCTCTTTTTGCAGCTCAGCTGAGTTCCTGACAGGTTGTCATTATCTTTCCATTTTTTTCTGTGTCGTCATTTTCACTGTAAGTGGTTGGCTAATGCAGGCAACTAACACGAGTAGGACAGGATGTAACAGCAGGGTTCATTGGTTGTTTTTGTTTCCTGCAACATCATTGCCTTCTTTCTGCCTTTGAAGCAAGTTCTGCTGGCTTTTCTGGGCTGTCAGAGAACCTGCTGACTCAGCCGTAGATATAAAATGCGTACCTTGTACTCAGAATCACGCTGAACTCTCACACTGTATGTACTCGTGGGGCATTGTGGGGGTGTTACCCAAGTGGGCCTTGAAGGACTGTTGGCAGGCACATTGCATGCATTTCCTCTCTTCTGCACGTGTTCAGTTATTCCATCAGACTTCATTTAGCAAAACACAGGTTCAAAGACAGTGTTAAGAATTCCAGGACAGTGACAGCAGAGCGTAAGCCTAGCGTAGAGGCCCTTCTGTGCCCAGAGCCTTCTATGGATGGTTTCAATGCTCCTTAAGCTGGCCCTGAAAACTGTCACACATTACAATGACCATAAATGAAAAGGTAACAATTAGAAATGATCTGCCATTTAAGTTTTCAGTGATTTGCAAAGTAAAGCAATAATGTATGGTTTATTTAGTTTTGAAATTAAGATTTTTGGTGAAAATATGATCAAATAGTACTACGAGTGGAAGTGTAGATTGGTATAGCCCTTGCTAGCAGTTTGTTTCTCTTAATAAAGAACTTTAAAAATTGTGCATATTCTTTGGCCAGGCAACTCTGTTTCTGAGATAGAAGTTATGATAAAAGTTTATTAAGTTGCTCATTAAAATACTATAATAAAAATATACATGTGTTAGAACAATACCAAGGTAAATTATGGTACAGCCATATGATGGAATATTTTGCTGCCATTAGAAACAATAATTCAGACATCAGTAATGTTTATTACACTATATAATGTAACAATTGCAAGATGCCATATTTCATAAAAAATATGTGTTCAGTTAAATTACATAGACATTTTGGTACATTGGTGCGTGTCTGTAGTTCCAGCTACTTGGGGGCTGAGGTGGGAGAATCTCTTGAGCCCAGGAGTTCAAGGCCAGCCCAGGCAGTAGAGGAAGACCCATCTCTAAACAGTAACAACAAAAAGCCAAACAAACAAACAAACAAAAAATAAGCAATTTCAGTGGAAAAAAGTAGGTCTGAAGGTTAATAGTGATCCATATTCCTGGAGAGTTACTTTATTTCTCTCTCTGTACTTTTCTATATTTTATCCATTTAGAAATGAATAAAGCATATGTCATTATTTTTATATTGGGAAATTCTTTTATTTTATAGAACATTTGTATTTATTTTATTATTATTTTGCTTACTTATTTTTAAGAACAATTATTAGGAAAATAATACCCATTATTATTTGACACTTTTGTGTGTATTTGTTCTTTTTTGTGTTCTCATGCCTGGTGCTGTGTTTAGCACAAAGTCATAAAATAAATTTTTATTGAATATATAAAGGATAGCTGTGTTATTTTAATACATAATGATGAGGTGAGTCAGTTAACATGTTTTACAAAACAGTGCTCAGGAAGGACAGGCAGATCAGTGATGACCATCAGTAATAAGTATTCTCCGCATCTTTTAACATACTCCCATAGCATGTGGCTTATTTGGTTGCATACCATTCTTCCTTGAAACTCTGCAAGCATCATATGTCAGGACAAGCGTTTCCAAATTAGTATTATCTTCATACATCTCTCATCAGTTCTCATTGTTTGCTTAAACTAGAGTTTTTCTATTTGAACATCATTACTCTGTTGATAGGAGGGAATATGTTTGAATTTCAGAAATACATAGGTATTGCGCATTTGTAAAACATGTTAAATATTAGCCTGAAACTATAACCTCCTAGTGTGCAGAGAGCCTGTCTCTCTTATTCACAGTTGCAGCCTTGATGTCTCACACAGTGACTGACAAACATTTGTTTGATGAATGAATTAGAGTCTAGTTTTTGAGAATATTTTCCCATCATGACAGTTTTCATTTGGATGTGGATTTTCTTTGAGCCACAGATGTTTGTCTTGAATGAAGTAATATTAGAAATATTCTCATTATTTTTTCCTATGCGTCTAGTGAGACCCTCATCTCTTCAGAAATAGAAAAATGAGCCAGACATGGTGGTGCCTGGGTCATAGGGCCAGTAAATGGAAAAGCCAAGATATGAGTGTTTTAGCCCCAAAGTCCCTATGTTTGACCACTACCCGACTGTTTTTCATAGTGGGAGCCTGAGACCACCTGCTTCATAATTTCTTGGAGTGATTGTCAGAAATGCAGTTGTCAGAGCCTCACTCCAGACTTGCTGAGTCTGAATCTCTGTAGATAAATTATGGGATTTTTTTGTCATTCAGTTGATTGTCCTGTACACTAACGTGAGAACCGCTGTGCAGTGCTGTTCTGTAAGCATTATCATGTTTCAATCTGTTAGTCTAAAAAGATAGCTGGACTCTACTAATCATTCTAATGCTTGGAGTAATGAAATTTTGGACTGATGTTTATGCTTTTGTCTTTGCTTTAAGATTGTCATGGATTTTAAACATCCAGATGGTGTCACAGTGCCAGTCATGCTGCCTCGCCGTAGTTTGCTGGTGATGACAGGAGAATCGCGGTACCTTTGGACCCATGGGTGTGTATTCACATGACCTTCAAGACGGAACACCTTTTGCTTTATGGGCTTTTGGGTTCAAACCTCATAGGAGAGCATCTGTGCTCTATGGCTTTTTTTTTGAACATTAGCTTTTATTTTGAAAAACAGACTAAATTTAAAGCAAACTCGCAAGCATAGTATAGTGAACGCCTTTCACCTACCTTCAGCAATTGTGAACATCTCTCCACGTCTTTGATTTCTTGCTCACATGTTATCCTTATTATTTTTTGCTGAATTACTTGAGAATAAGTCACAAATACCATGGCTCTTTACCTAATGTGCTTCATTGTATGTTTCCTAAGAACAAGGACTTTGTCTCAAAGTAGTGCTGGTCGACTACAGCTTGTGGGCCACATTCAACCCTTTGTCTGTTTTTGCATAGCTTTTGTGCTAAATATGGTCTTTTCATTTTTAAAGCACTGTAAAAATGAAATTAAAACAAGAATATTTGGCAGAGATGATATGTGGCCCTCAATGCCTAAAATATTTATTATCTGTCCCTTTACAGAAGAAGTTTGCCAACCTCTGTTCCATAAAACCACAGTGCCGTCCTCAAATTCAGGAAGTTTGATAAAATATTTTTCATCATACTCTTATACAATCCATATTGAAATATTGCTAGTTGTATGTTATAGTACTTTAAACTCTCTCCTATGAGTTCTGTTTAGTCTTTATTTGAAAGTTTCTCAACTTTTCTTTGTTTTTTATGATATCTTTTCTGAGAAGGCCACTTGTTTTGTAGAATGTCTGTCAATTTGAGTTTGATTTAATTAAAATCTAAAATAATGAGTGTGTGTTTTAGGTAGGAATTCATCTTTAGCCTTATGAGAATATTACACTGCTAACATTTATAAATATTGTCACTTAGAATACAACTGTATTCTGTCTTACTCAGATGTTTTTCTAACAATCAAGGAAATGCACATGTAAATAAATTTGTCCTTAATGTGAGGCCATAAAAAAATGATGGCCTGATTTTGCACATGGGGCTTAAATTTATCTTATATTTTTTCATGGCCATTAAAATATTTATACTTAAATGAAAATGAAGATGTGATCCACTGATTTCAGGTATTCTTGGAATTTTGAAAATAATATTTTCTTTTTGGGTTCAAGCAATTTGCTATTATGAATGTTTACTGCTTAAGAATAGTAGTATTGTAACTGAAACCTCAACGGTGTTCCAGATTGGGTCCTATTGCTAGTTGCAGAGAAAGCTAATTACTCAGTCAAAAAGGATTGCCAAAGAAAGGATTTTTTTTTTTTTTTTTTGAGACAGAGTCTCACTATGCTGCCTTTGGTAGAGTGCTGTGGCGTCACAGCTCACAACAACCTCAAACTCTTGGGCTTAGGCAATTCTCTTGCTGCTCAGCCTTCCAAGTAGCTGGGACTACAGGGGCCTGCCACAACGCCCAGCTATTTGTTTTTGGTTGCAGTTTTCATTGTTGTTTAGCTGGACCAGGCCGGGCTGTAACCTGCCAGCCTCAGTGTATACTGCCTGTGCTCTACTCACTGAGCTACAGGCACCAATGGAATTGTGTTGAAATTAAGGAGGGGCTCTGTGTCCTGGAGCAGGTTAGTGAGGGATTGTGACTCCTTAGTCTTGCCGAAATTCTGCCATTTTTGGAAGATAACTCAAAAGGCCAGGTAGCTAGTTAAAAGTTATATGGTTCCGGTTGTCAAGCTGTGTTGGACTGAAAATCTAAAGAATGAGAGGGAGAAGACTGTATTAATTAAAAAACATATAGGGGCCATTGAAACTTGTTCGTAGACCTGGTTACAATATTGTAGCAAATGCAAAATAAGAAATTAACTTTTATGTGTGTGGGGGTATGTGTGTACTAGAAAGTACTAGAAAGCAATGTATATACATACATACACATATAAAATATGAAAATGCTCCTAAAACACCCTTTGATCACACTATTCTCTTATTGCATGCTTGCTATGCTGTTGAATATTAATATACTTATCTCTGGAAAGACAAAGGATAGTTAAGATTTATTTTTAATCCTTGGTCTGGAATCAAAATTCTCTACAATATTTTCAGGGAGAAGAAAACGCTCAGCATTATTTCTGCTGAAGGCTCCCATTAGTACCCACTGCCTGTATGTGACTTTGTGTGGCCGTGTGTGTGTTTGGACAAGAGAGAGAGGGAGAAACGGGAAGGGAGGGAGGCAGAGACATACCGGGCAGATGATATGCCAACAACTGAGATGTTTGTCAGAATCTTTGGGTGGAAAGGAGAACAAATTTAAAAAGCATATTTAATACAATTAAAAATATGGGAAATAATTCTTGATAAAATTTTTTTATTTTTATGCTAGAAAAAACAGTACTAGAAAGCACTAGAGAAGGATATAGAGGAACCTGGGTTGAAGAGTAATTACTGCCCTATAATGGGAATTCCAGACACCTCAATGTAACTTTAGTTTGGTTAAGTTAAAAAAAATTTTTTTTGAGACAGAGTGTCTTTCTGTTGCCCCAGGCTAAAGTGCCATGGCATTAGCCTAGCTCACAGAAACTCAGAATCCTTGGTTCCAGCAGGGCTCCTGCCTCAGCCTTTCAAGTAGCTGGAACTACTACTTGGAACTACTACTACTCCAGCCACAATGCCTGGAGTCTCATGAGTCACAAACTCCTAAGCTCAAGTGATCCTCCACCTTGGCTTCCCAGAGTGCTAGGATTACAGGTGTAAGCCACTGTGCCTGGCTGATCAAGTTCAAATTTAATATTATAGCCACCATGCTTAATCAAAGGTGGCAGGCTGGCAGCACGTGGGTAAACTTGCAGTGAGGTGTGTTCTGTTTTGCTGGTACAGCAGCAGTAACTGAGACTCAATAGCACTGTCTTTCTTTAGATGGGGCCTCCCGTTCCTTATGGCTCCTGCTCTTTCCGATTACTCCTTGATCTACAGCTGAGTATCATTTGTCGGTTATCACTATACTTCTTATATTGTTTTATCTTATAACTGAGTTATATGAAAATTCAGTATTTCTGGAACTCATGTCTGTATTAGAAGTAGGAAATGGAAAGGTAGACTGTCATGTGTTTCCAGAAAATTTTGAAATGAAGACGACTTCTATGTATTTAATAGCAAATAATATGTTTTTAAAAAAAAACAAATCCACCAGCTTCATTTATTTATGCTATCTGACCTCTGTAGGTATTATTTCATGAGGTTATGTCAACTCTCCTTTCTAATTATTTCTAGAGGATTTTCTTTGTGCCAGAAATTGTTCTAAAAGCTTTATGTATATTCAGTCATTTAATTCATATAATCACTGGAGCTTGTTCCATGATTTTGTCCTCATTTTTAAAGGAAGTAAGAGTACAGACAAGTTGAGTAACTTACCCAACGTCCCAAAGCAGTAAGTGGTAGAGGTGAGACTGGAAGCCGGGCAGTCTGGCTCCAGGGTCTGTGCTCTTTCCTGCAGTGTCGCAGCTAAAGTTGTCTGCTCCCTTCTCTCTGGACTCAGACTGTGCTTTCTGGCCTTCACATTTACCAGCTTTCTGTGTTTTTAATGGACATGTCTTTTTCTTCTTTCATAGTTTATAAGGTTTTTCTTGACTACATTAGCTTGAAATAATTTATCCCTTATCTGAACTTTTACAGACTGTCTTATCTACTGCCCTGAGATCTTGTATAAGGGACTTTATTTGAATCTATAAAAATCTTTTTATCTTTTTATTGAATATTTTCCCAACTTGATTGTAATTTGAGTGCAGGGGGACAAGTTGTTTACTAAAGTTTAAAGAAATTATTTTAACACATGGGTTCCCATTTCCTAAAAATCAAAGATTACACAAAAGCAGTTAAAATCTCTTGACCTTTGCTTAGGGTTTAACGTTTGGCAAACAAACTAATTGATTTAAAAGAGCCAAAATTTGCACTAGATTGTTTATCAGAGCTTAATTTCCAAGAGGTGCAAACAACCTAAATGCCCATTACTCAAGAGTAGATTAACAAACTGTGTTGTATACAAACCATGGAGTACTGTTCATAGCTATGAGAAAAGATGGTGACTTTATGTATTTTGTATTAACCTGGATGGAGCTAAAACGCGTTCTTCTTAGTTTACTTTAGTATCACAGGAATGGAAAAGCAAGTATTTAATGTACTCAGTGTTGATATGAAGCTGGAGACAATCTAATACACACTCACATAGGGGAAAAACTTAATTCAAGTTGAGGGGAAGAACACCAAGGGGGAGGGGAGGGAACAGTAGGGGGTTGGTGTGCTCCCACTTAATGGGCACAATGTAGGGGTATATGGCACAACTTCTGGGTGTGGGACACAACTATAAGAGGGACTCTAACAAATTCAAATATTAAGACCTGGTTGTACCCTAACATTAACCTGAAAAAGAAAAAAAGCCATAATAGATAACTACTTTGTCTCCCAAAGAGGAATTAGTTTGCTAACAAGAGTTCTAAGATACTTTTTTCTTCTAAAATATCTTAATTTTGTTCAGCACTATAGTTTTAATCATTTTCAGCCATTAAAGTAATAATAATAGAAATTCAGACAATGACTGCTTGCTTTTACCTCTTCAGAGATTGCCATTGGCACAAGCTTTTCAGAAAGAGCTTTTCTCCTAACTTGCTTTATGAGGGTGGCATTACTGTTGATACCAAAACATGTCAAGGACATTGCAGTAAAAAACGTGACAGACCAATATGTTGCATAACAGAGATGAAAATATCCTCAACAAAACATAAAGTCTAATCCTGCAATATAGGAACAAGAAAATACATTATAACCAAGTGGAGTTTATTACCAGTATTGCAAGTTTGGTTTAGCTTTTTAAAATCAATCAATGTAATTCATCATGAAGGAGGAAAAAACAATAGCTTTTTTTTTCTTTGAGACAGGCACTTTGTTGCCCTCGATAGAGTACTGTGGCATTGTAGCTCACAGCAACCTCAAACTCTTGGCCGAAGTGATTCTCTTGCCTCATTCTCCCAAGTAGCTGGGA